ATTGAGTTGTCGTGGCCGAGTGGTTAAGGCGATGGACTTGAAATTCATTGGGGTTTCCCCGCGCAGGTTCAAATCCTGCCGATAACGGTCAGTGCTTTGTTTCTGTTATGTAAAATCTTTTAAAGAATTTTAAATTTAAAACTAAAAGTACACTGTGTTTTCCTATATCTCAACGAAAAAAGGGATTAAGTTGTTGTGGCCGAGTGGTTAAGGCTATGGACTTGAAATCCATTTTGGTTTCTCTGCACATGTTCAAATCCTGCCAATAATGGTTTTCTGTTTCAAATACAAATTTTATTGTAATTTAAATCTAAAAACTGAAAGTACACTGTGTCTTCTCAAAGCTTTTTTAAAACACAAAGTTGTGTTGTCGTGGCCAAGTGGTGACCAGAAGCACACTGTTTTTTTACAGCTTTACATTGAAAAATGTGTTGTCGTGGCCGAGTGGTTAAGGTGATGGACTAGAAATCCATTTTGGTTTCTCTGCACATGTTCAAATCCTGCCAATAATGGTTTTCTGTTTCAAATACAAATTTTATTGTAATTTAAATCTAAAAACTGAAAGTACACTGTGTCTTCTCAAAGCTTTTTTAAAACACAAAGTTGTGTTGTCGTGGCCGAGTGGTTAAGGTGATGGACTAGAAATCCATTGGGGTTACCCTGCGCAGGTTCAAATCCTGCCGATAACGGTCAGTGCTTTGTTCCTGTTATGTTAAAATCTTTTACAGAAATTTAAATTTAAAACTGAAAGTACACTGTGTTTTTCCAAATTTCAACATTAATAATTGAGTTGTCATGAAATGTATTTAAGATCCATTAGGATGTCCCCACACAGGTTAAAATCCTGCATATAACGGTTTTCTGTTTCAAATAAAAATTTAAGTGTAAAGAAAAACAAAATCCGAAAGTACACTGTGTTTTCTCACAGCGTTTTTAACCTCTTAAGCCCTGAGGCCTATTTTCCGAAAATCCTATACTTTTACTTTTTAAGGCATTTCTCAGCTTTTACAAGGCCTAAACTGCAAATCTTGGTATCAAAATGAAGATAGGTTCTTGGGGAGTGGTGTGGATGAGTTAATTTGACAGTCAAGAACACTGGGTAGAGTAATTGATGTTGAATTGGCCAAAAAAATGAAACTACATGTTTCCTCTAATATCTCCTTATTTTACTTGTAACGAAGCAAATAAACACAATC